CGGGGGACAGCGCGTGGGCCCCGTGTCCACCGTGGGTGTGACCGGTGAGTGGGGGCGGGAGACTTCAGGGCTGGGTTGGTTAAGGTCTCAATGTTGGAGCCTTCAGGTTGTCCTCCTTGGAGAGCAAGGATCCTAAAGCCTCACCTAATCCACCAGTAACATGTCTGGCCGGGTGTGAGGTGGGGTCAGGAAGCCTGAGTGCCAGGCCTGTGCCAGAGAGGCCCTCCGTTGGAAGGCTCTGAGGCAGTGATACACTGACCCGTTTGTGGCTTTCCACTTTTCCGGGAAACCTGGAAAGATCTTGTTTTTGTGGTTGGGGCAAATGCCATGAACTATTCAATCATTCAACAATAATTTATTATATAAGAGCCAACCTTACACATGAAAAGAAAAAATAGCATCATGAACTCCCATATGTCCATTGCCCTGCTGCAGCCTAATATTCACTGCTGGCCAGTCTGGCTGGCCCACACCCCGCTCGCTCCCTGCCCTCCTCACACTGGGATGTGTGCTTAACTCAGCTTATTGAGATGTAATTTACATACCATAAAATTCACCTGCTTTAAGTTTGCAACTTAATGATTTTTAGTCAGAGTTGTGCATCCATCAGCACTATCTAATTTTAGAATTTTCTCCGTAGAACTCTAACACTATCTCATTTTAGAACTCTACCTCTGTAGATTTGCCTTTTCTGGACATATGTCTAGAAAAGGTATGGTATATCATATCATATAGATATGTCTAGATGGTATGGTATCATACAATAACATGTTCTTCTGTGTCCGGGTTCTTTCATCAAGCTCCTTTTCGGGGTTCATCCATGTTGTAACGTGTAGCAGAAGTCATCCCTTTACAGCCAAATAATATTCTGTTGTATGGATATACTGTTGCAGTGTTGGTAAACTCATCCCAGACGCTCTAGACTTCATCCCATACTTCATGGCTTCATATTTAAGCATATTACTCTTTTTAAAAAGACTATTTAAGGGGTGCCTGGGTGGCTCAGTCGGTTAAGCTTCCGACCCTGGATTTCGGCTCAGGTCATGATCTCAGGGTCATGAGATCAAGCCCCGCACCGGGCTCTGCGCTATGTCTGGAGCCTGCCTAAGATATCCTCTCTGCCCCTCCCCAACTCATGAACGCACTGTCTCTCTCCCTAAAAAAAAAAGTATTTAAAAATAGCCACAACACCATTATTGTACCTTTAAAAATGAACAGTCATTCATTAATATCATTAAGTATGTAGGGAATGTTAGTTTCCTGGTTGTCTCATAAATGTTGTTCTCTAATTTGTTGCTGGGATCAGGTCCAAAAAAAGGAGAAAACATTGCAATTGGGAGAATTGGAATTTTAGATAGGGTGGTCATGATTGGCCCTGAAAAGGTGACATTTGAACAAAGACTTAAAGGAAGTGTGGACATGAGCCATGCAGACATCCAGGGTCAGAACATTCACACAAAGGGAATAGTCAATGCAAAGGTCCTGAGGTAGGAGGCTGCCTGGTAAGTTTGACAGGCCATGAAGAGACCACAAAAAGACTTTGATGTTAAGCAGAAATGGATCTTAAGTTAGGACTACACAGCTGGCCCACCTTCTGGTCTGAATCCAGTAGAGCCAGGGCCTCAACTACTTCTTCCAGCAATAGGAAAGGTTCTGTTTGCATCTATTCCCAGGCCCCGAAGGGGAGCCCCCTACCAACACCCTTCTGAAGCCACACTTGGGAGAGCTGACCGTGATGGACGCCACCCCTGACTCCCTGCACCTCTCCTGGACTGTCCCCGAGGGCCAGTTTGACCACTTCCTGGTCCAGTACAAGAACGGGGACGGGCAGCCCAAGGCCGTGAGAGTGCCAGGGAGTGAGGACCAGGTCACCATCTCAGGCCTGGAGCCCAGCCACAAGTACAAGATGAACCTGTATGGCTTCCACGGTGGCCAGCGTGTGGGCCCGGTCTCTGCTGTCGGTTTAACTGGTGAGTATACAGTAGGACACTGGGCTCTGCCCTAGCTGGACTCAGTTTCTCTTTCATGTCGGTATTCAGGTGTTTTTGTCCTACTGTCCCTGAGACTAGAGCCTCCCAAGCTCCTGAGAATGGTTCTGTTTGTGTCTTTACTCCAAGCCTTTGGTGTTGCCTCAGCCATCTTTCCCTTTATACATGGGCTTTTTTTTTTTTTAATTAATCTCTACACCCAACATGGGGCTTGAACTCACAACCCCGAGATCAAGAGCCACGTGTTCTACTGACTGAGTCCGTCAGGCTGCCCCACACACAGACTTTTTGGTTCTTGAAGAGTCAGGGTACCAGGGAAATAACAGACTCAAACAGACCTAGGGTTGACCCTAGCCTCAGCCCATTCGAGCTGTGTGACCCCAAGACAGTCACTCAACCTCTCTGTGCCTCCCTTTCTTCATCTGTAAAGAAGGAAGAGGAAGAAAATTAGTTTCTGAAAACTCTTAGAATGAATTCTCATAATTATCATTGATTTCAATGGGTAAAATGGTATGTTTTCCAACCCAGATTGATTCCCCCTTTATGCTAAATGAACCCTGGAATCCTGCTACCATGGTTGCTTTTACTTTGATGGTTAGTATTAGTCTATGTGCAACTTCACAAGGCACCTTCCCTTCATTCATTATTTGCTAACAGGGCCAATCGTTGCTTTTGTTAAGTTCTTTTGGAGCTATTACCCTTTGATGCTTAAGACCTGGTTCCCAAACAACAGATAGGAAACAAGATGATTTTGTAATTCAGAGATTAAGGAAGAATGAAACCCTATGCAGAACAGAAAAGCCAAAAGAAACCTGGGGGTGTGATGAGTCATCTGTGCCATAAATTATGGAGAGAGCAAACGCGAGGTCCCAAACCACCCAGGTACAAAGACGACCTCGTATCTCATCTCTTTGTCCTCCACTGTGAAATCTAAATTTATCTCTAAAAATGCTCAGAAGACTTCTCAACCAGAGGAGATATTAAAGGAAAATACTCACAAAGTAGAATTTCCAAACCTGAGTAGATGTACCTCCTGATGTGACCTGTCTGGTATGCTTGGCGGTGTTAGGAAGCCTTAGTTCTGTCCCTCTGTGCAGATTTGCTCTGCAGCTCCCAAGGACTCAGCGCCCGCACACACACACCACCAGGCAGTCCCGACCTCCCGTCATGATGTTACCACGAGCGTGTGCTCTGTCCCTTGGTCACTAACATTCAAACCAGGGAGATGATGTCTTAACCCTGGGGGGCTGGCATCCAGGCTGCAGGGACTTGGTGTGTCTGGGAGAAATCTAAGTATCCTTTACTGGAAGGGGGCCCACAACGCACGTCCACACATTCTCTTTGTCTCCTAATCCAGCCCCAGGAAAGGACCATGAAATGCCAGCTCCCACAGACCCACCCACCACAACTCCCCAGCCTCCCAAGCCCCGCCTGGGGGAGCTGACCGTGACCGACGCCACTCCCGACTCCCTGCACCTCTCCTGGACTGTCCCCGAGGGCCAGTTTGACCACTTCCTGGTCCAGTACAAGAACGGGGACGGGCAGCCCAAGGCCGTGCGTGTGCCGGGCTATGAGGGTGGGGTCACCGTCTCAGGCCTGCAGCCAGACCACAAGTACAAGATGAACCTGTACGGCTTCCACGGTGGCCAGCGCGTGGGCCCGGTGTCTGCCATTGGGGTGACAGGTGAGCGGATGCTGGAAGCCCCAGGGTGGGGCCAGTGGGAGGGTCTCCCTCTCCCAGGTGATGGGTGAGTGGGGTGCAGGAGGCCCCTCTGCTCGAGGCTGAGCCGTGGTGCCCTTTGTGCCTCCCCACCCCCCTCCCGGGGCTCCCTGAGGCCTGAGGGGTCCTCCCCTGCAGAGAAGGGCCTCCGTGAGCTGTGCTGGAGGCTGTCCAGGGTTCCCCACAGCTGACCCTCAAGGCTCCCAGGCATGTTTGTGAGATGCAGCTGAGCAAGCCCACCCAGCCCCAAGGATGGGCTCCTCTGAGCTGAATTTGGGGGCCCCCAGACATGATCACAGCTTCTCCATCCTTCTCCCAAGACCTGAGGACATCTGCTGGGGATCCTGCCTCACCTTCTCTGTGTCTGTCCTTCTCAGCTGCAGAGGAAGAGACCCCGACCCCCACTGAGGTGGAGGAGACCCCCAGCCCCACAGAACCCAGCATGGAGGCCCCGGAGCCCCCCGAGGAGCCCCTCCTGGGGGAGCTGACGG